AGAAGCTCGACGAAGGAGAGTTGTAGAGTGAGGTCCTGTTATATGCATCGTGATTGCAGTTGAATTACAGAAGCATCCAGAAAATGAAATTGCGATGATAAGGTTGATTGATTGAGGAATGGAGTATTAATGGCGGGTTGTGAAGAGCAGAGAGATGAGAATATTTGGGGAGGAAGAGCGAAGGGGCGTGTGGAAAGGGCAAGTTGTAAAATAGCAGAAGCTGCGGGGAATTGTAGTAGTGCTGGCGATTCCAAAGTCCAACATACTTTTCAAACGAAACATGGGCAAATTACTTTTACTTTTATAGTCTATTTTTCTTTTTAAAACTTGTTTCCATGCCCGTATATTAAATTAAATAGGAAGTTTATTTAAAATTTAAATATGAAATAAGTGAAAATTATGAGAAATAAAAAACATTCAATAAATAAATAAATTAAAATTATGCGTTTAGTTGTCATACTCGTGTACTAAACATATTATAACAAAATGTTAAATATAAAGATTTAAACAGTAAATTTATTTTAAATTTAAATTTAATAGACATTATGGTAGGTTTAATTTATGGAAACTATATTAATAATATATTGGAAATTGGAAGATGAAAAATAAAATAAATAATAAGTGGAAAATAAATATATTTCAAAATTATGACAAACTGACATGTGGTCAATTGAATGAGAGAACGACATGTAGCAGAACCATTATTATTTATTAGGATACTAGTTGTGAAACTCATGTAATGGTTAAAAATATTACATATTAAGGTCAATATTTAAGAAGTTTGAATTTATATGAAAATTAAGAAAAATAATGAATTATTATAATAGAAATGTTTTTTATCTTTTAAATTTAAACAAATAATTTAAATAAATACAAGAAACTAATAAACTTTAAATTTGAGAATTTTGAAATTAAAAAGTAAGTTCATTAATTAATTTGATATTCATTTATTACTACATTTATTGCAATTATTATATTAAAATATTATATGGAATTTAATAAAATAGAAAAACTCATAAATGACATGTGGAAAAAAATTAATCAAAATAAACCACAAAATGACAATTGACAAATTAAATGAGAGTGTGACAAGTGGAAAAAAAATCTTCATTTATTATAGAGGATATATTTATTAGGATAGATTATTATCAAGCTAATATTTTAAATATTAAGTTAAAAATCAAAGCATGATTAACTAAAATGAATATATATAAATATATATATATATATATATATATATATATATATATATATATATATACGGTTAAGTTCGTGTGTTTCTTACATTTATTGTGTGCTAGAATGCACCAATAGGAATTTTGTAAAAATTAAATAATTATTTAATTAAATAAAAATATATATTAAATGATTTCCATAATTATATGTATATTAAATGATATCCATGATTATAATTGTTTTTTTATGAAAACTAATTAAATTCATCATTAATATCAACAGTAAAATTCTTTCAGAATAAATTCGCATCTAGATTTTCATATATGGGTTCGTGTTTTGTTTATGGACTCACTCACTTAAAATACAACAAAGTTGCATGGAATATGAAGAACGAGTGTGTATTCTACTACAATACACTTTCATTCTGTTAGAATATTGGTGGGATGTCAAGTCCACCAAGCAAATTTCACCCTTTGATTTCTAAATAAACGTAATATAATGGTAAAAAGGGGTATCGATCCTCGGGGAAATGGTTGTATTCAATCACCAATGCAATTCAATAGAACTAGTGAAATTAAACTAACTAACTACAATTAAACTAAAGGGGGGGGGGGGTGTTTGATTACTTGAAAACTAAAATACTTGAATAACTAAAAACCTTGCAATTAAGCAAGTTGATGAGATGCTCAAAGGTTGGGAATAATTGGTTAACTAAGGCAATTCAACACAATGAACATTTGTGTGTTTATCATTAGGATCTAATACAAAGCTTATCATTCATCCCAAATTGGTTATAGCAATCATGAAGCATGATATGCCAAGATTCCTCATAGGTAGTATGGAGGTTGGGGAAGCCCACAACACACCTTCTTAATTAAGATCAAGGGTTAATTGAAGCAATTAATCTCGAGAAATCAATTAGCCTTAAGAATGAAGGAATCCCCAATTCCTAGAGGATGTCAAATGCTTACACATCCATAAAGGAGTTATGATTCATAAGCTAGAGATGATTTCTACCATCATAAAGCCTTTGTTCTAGATAAATTCAATGATCCAATGCAAAATCAATGAAACAAATCAACCATTGCTCAATCAAATACTAAGCTCATGATCAAAGCATCAAATAAGCATAAGAATTGTAAACTAGAATCATAAACATGGAATAAATTGATAATCAACATAAATCCTTCAAAACTCACAAACATTCATTGGTTTTCAGCCAAAGTCAACCAAATAAGAGTATTAGCCACTCATGGCAACAAAGTAACAAGAACAATAATTAATTTGCATCAAGAATCTACCTAAGACTTGAAAAGATGAAAGAAATTGAGTATTTTGCTCTCCAAATCGTGACTTGCAGGTCTCCAATGGTGGAAAATTCGTGAATGAGCCTCTAGATCTGATCCCCCCCGAGTTATTGTGAGCCAAATGACCAAAATACCCAAACTGGGCAGTTGCGCGGGTACCCGCGCAGCCAAAATTCCACCCGCGCAAATGCTGCTGGAATGCTATTGGTCCACCATTCCACTACTCCACCCTTCCACTACCAAAGATTCCTTTGGTCCCCCCCTTGTCCATGTAATTTGATCCACCAATCATCATTTAGCCACTAAATGGATGCTCCAAGCCCAAAATTAGAAATTTATGATCCATCTTCACAAGCCCAAATAATCCAAGCCAATAACTTTCAAAGCCCAATTCTTCTTCTTTGATTCCGCCAAGCCCAATAATGCTTCGGGAGCCCACTAAGCCGTCTTCACTCTAATCCACAATCACAAAAAGCTCCAAAACCCTGCAAAATTCCTCATGCAACATAACAAGCCCCCGATACGATCCATGATAAAGAAAATAAGGAATATACAATGCAATACTAATAAAAAGAGCTAAAAATCTAAGATAAACTAATAAAAATAAGGAAATAAAATAAGCTATCAAATATACGCTCATTCTTCTAGAATAAACTCTCATTTTGCTAGAATACACTCTTGTTCTCCATGTTCAAGATAACTTTGTTGTATTTTGGAGTGAGTGGGTCATGAAACAAAATACGAATCCATACATGAAAACTTAGATGCAAATTTATTCTGAAAAAATATTATTTCTGATATTAATGACGAATTTAATTAGTTTCCATAAAAAATGAATTATAATTATAGATATCATTTTAATATATATACAATTATGAAATCATTTAATATCTATCTTTATTTGATTAAATAATAATTTAATTTTTACTAAATTATTATTGATGCATTGTAGCACACAAAAGATGTGAGAAACATTCGAATATATATATATATATATATATATATATATATATATAATATATATATATATATATATATATATATATAGTCGAATTCCGGTGAAGACTCCAAAAATTGTGACGGATGTGAGGGCAATTCTCCACCACCCATTTTGTTAAGGGCACAAACGTTAAACTCAATATTTGATCGTGTTGTGTAGGGATGAGCATAAGCGGGTACCCGCCTCTTTTGGTCGGAACCGAAACCGCTCCCGGAACCGGCGGTTTTGAAATTATTGGAACTGCTCCCGGAACCGCCTAGACCGGTTCTTAGAAATTTGGAACTGCTCCCGGAACCGCTAAGACCGGTTCCGGTTCCGGGTACCCGGTTTCTTGAATTTTTAAATTTTTTATTTCATCCAGCAAGTGGAATTTAGCAAGTAAATATGACAAAATGACAAGTTACAAACTACAAATCGTTCTAATTCCCAACAAAAATAGCACAAAAACAAAAAAAACAAAAAAAGAACATAAAACAGCAAGTTGAATTTTTAAATTTTTTATTTCATCCAGCAACTTGGATTCATGTTCTTCTTTTTGTGTTGCTCTTTTTCTTCGTTTTTTTTTTCTTCTTTGATTTTGTTGCTTTTCTTTAATCTTCTTCATTTTTCTTTTTTTTTTCTTTTTTTTTTTTTTTTTTTGTGTTTTCTTCTTTGAAGGTCTAAGGAATTTCACCATGTAGCATAGGATGGAGGCTAACATGAACACCTAATGATCATTGACAATGTGCCAAGATCAACTAAAAAGGGTGGGGAATGACTCAAAAATGGGTGTTACCGAAAAGACTTGGTCCCAAAAGATGTGAATTGGGGGACCCACTTCAAAGTTCATCAAGCACCTCAATGCAAGGTGTGATAAACAAAATCTATCTAACTATCTACTCTAGACCCCTAGAAGAATGATGACCTATCTTAAAAAAAATGGTGAGAATCTAACTAAGTAAGGCTCGGACGAGACTCGGGAGTACTAAGGGGTACTCCCTCCAAAACCAAGATGCGAGTCTTCATTATCTTCAATGTACCTTACGGGGCTAATCTTTGCTCGCGCACATCGGTTTGACCAACCACATCCCTCCGCACCTAGACCCAATCAAGCTACCTGCATCTGACCCCCACACAAGCGGTCTTAAAATGGTCTGTGAGGCTCAAAACGTGTCCCACTTATCAAATACAAGGAATTCCATATCAAGACCCGGGACCAATCTATGATTCAATACTTATGACTCGGTGCTCTGGTACCTGTAGGGATGAGAAGACAAGAGAGAACAAAAATGCATAAACTTAAACTAGAATGCATCTAAAAAGTATGAAAAATTAGAAAAAGAAAGAAACAAAATATGCAATATTTTTGAAATTTTTATGCAATTTTTATGAATGACCTAAATAAGTTACTCTAAATGTAACTATATACAACCTAAATGCAATAAAAAAAATAAAATATAAGAATACCTCACCCCAAGCTTAAAATTAAGCATTGTCCTCAATGCTTAGGATGAGAGTAAGGAAGGATCATACCGGGATCAAGGTGGAGGAGGCCCTCGAGGGGGATAACCGCCCTCGGGCTGAAAATAATACCACAGGTCCTCCATGTAAGTGTTGGTGCGTGCTTGTTGTTCCTCAATGCGGTGGATGGCTGCGATGTTCCTGTTGCCCTGGAGGCGCAAGGAAGCAAGCTGACTGTAAATATCGAGAGGAAACTCGTGTGCGGGGTCGGGCTCATTGTGTTTCTGGTATGAGTGATAATCACGCTGTGGCTGGAAGTGTTCTCCCGTGGGCTGAGAGTGTGACCCGGAGGCTTGACATGGATAAGGTGGTGGCAACTGGCGGATCGGGAGATCATAATGGTCTTCAGCCTCGAATGGGCTATCAACATTGTCAGGGTCCACCTGCATGTCATCATCCGCTGCTGCAGCATCATCGCCTGGCAACTCTTGAGGCAAGAACCATGTTTCGGGGACATTGGTGGTGAAGGCGTAGATACTTGGATTGGGCAAGATGTAAACTGGGTCCTTGACATGGTTGAGCCAAGAGAAATGTCCAGGAAGAGTAGGATGAGGTAGCATTAATTCCATCCGGGTGAGAGTTATGCAATCAAGAAGGTAGAGAGGTGGATCATCCACTGGCACATATTCAGATTCTGGAAATTGAAGGCCCATACCCAAACCAATGAGGGTAATGAGACCTCCAATACAAATGTCACCAGTGGTCTTCGTCCTGAGGCTGTCACATTTGTCTAAAAAGAAGGTGGCGAAATCGGGTAAAGACCAACGTCGGCTCGACATGCAGTAGAGAAAATATAACTCAACGGTGTTGATTTGTCCCGGCTCATGACGAGCAAAGATAGAAGTGGATAGGATCCGGTGGGCAATTCTCCAGCAAGGATGGATGATAAAGGGGTCTTTTTGGCGACTGGGATTGAACTTGGAAAGGCTCGTGATTTGGGTCCAAAAGTCTACTTTGGGCAAGCTTTTAAATTGAGACCATTAGTAGTTGTAAATGTCGGAGTTGTTGATGTCATATGTGCCCATGATCTTGTTGAGGGTTTTGTACTTGAGTCGGTGCTGCCGACCCTGGAGTTTGAAAGTGAGTACCCTCGCCGTGTCATTGCGGGCATAGGTGGAGAGGAAGTCGAGTGTGGGCTGTTTGTAGGTGTGTGCAGAAAGAGCGAGAAACTCGTGCCAACCAATGTTGAAAAATAGTTGTCTCAAGTGGTTGTCAAGGCCGAGGTGCTCCATAGAATCGTGGTGGTAAAATTTTGTGGCACGGAGTGCACGCTTTTGAAGGTTGGATTTGAACTCTCGGCTTTGGGCACTCGTGAGGGTAAGGTTCCCATCACGATCAACATGGTCGGTGGACATTTTCTTGGATGGCCCCGAGGATTGAGCTTCACGAGATGAACCATGAGATGCGTGAATGGACTTGTCCCGTGCCATTGTACCGGTGAATAAACCTAGCAAAGATAAAAACTTGGGCAAAATTATCCCTCACACTCGCCTCACACCAATCCAATCAAACCAAATACTTAAAACCGGGCAATATTCCAAATTGGCAATTTGGCACAATGCAATTCAATCTAATCAATTCAAGGCAAGCTAAGACTAATTCTATTTAACCTAATGCATAGCACAAGTCTATAAAATTAGAAATGAATGCAATAAATTAAAAGAATTACCAATTCGTGTGTTGAAACCCGAAAGAAATCCGCAAAAACCGCACCCCAAGCTTGAATTTTTGGCCCACAAATAAGTCTTTTGAATCTCCGGTGAGAAACAAATTTTTTTTGATTTGTTTTTTTTTTTTTGAAATGTGTGGCGGCGACCGGCGGTGGCGGGCGGCGGAGTAAAGTTTTCCGGCGAGTTGATTTGGGCAAATATGTAGTAGATCGGTGTGTATGGTGGAGTGTTTGGGAATAATGCCCCAAAGAATTTTGGATTGTGTGGAAGGTGGTGTCGGAATCGGGCCTTAACAGTTTTCCGGCGAGGGTGATAATGTTGGCGTCGAGCGGTTTACCGGCAATAGATGGGGGGGGTTTGGTCGAATTAGGTGGGGGAGTAGAGCGGGGGTAGAGCGCGCCGGCGAAACAAGCAGCGTTGAGGCGGTGTTTGTTGATTTGCGATTTTTTCCGGCGGCGACGTGAGGATCGGCGAAATCTGGGAGCAGATGGAGTGTCGCTATAGGCGAAGGGGCAACCGGTGGTGGGGCTTGGAAGCGGTGCAGCGGCGGAAGCTGATCGGAAACGGCAGCGGCGGTGAGGAGTTCGTCGGGAGTTCGTGGCGGGAGGCACAAGGGGGAAGGGTGTCCGAGGGGTTAAGGGGGTATAAGGGTGGGTTAGTAAGGTTCGAATGGGTTGGAAGCGGGTCTGGATCGGGGTGGGTCGGTTTCCGGGTGGAGTTATAAGGAGGAGAGGTTGCGCAATTTGAAAGTGGAATTTCTTTATAGCCGCGCAATATCTGCGCGGGTGGATTTTGGCCGCGCGCAACTTGCAGAATGCATCCCATGTTTGTGCAATTTGGAACTCGGGACCTGCGCGGCTGGGGTTGGCCGCGCAAAAGTCTGCGCGGGTACCCGTGCAAAAGTCAAATTTTGAAAATTTTCAAACTTCACCAAAATCACTAGAAGACTTCAAGATGCTTATTTTTAGACCAACTTCAAACTTAGAAACACCCAAAACTTCAAACGGACATTATTTATTCACATTGCATTTTTTAACGTCTTTGCCAAGACATAGTCCCGCTTCCATCAACCTTCGTAATTTGGGATTTCCAATGTTACGTTGTCGAATTCTCCCGTATCAAAGCCTTCATAAAATGGTTTCAAGCGGTGTCCATTCACTTTGAATATTTGATTTGTTTCCAAACTCTTAATTTCAACCGCACCGTGATCAAACACTTTTATAACAATAAAAGGTCCGTGCCATCGAGATCGCAATTTTCCCGGAAATAGCTTTAAGCGTGAATGATAAAGAAGAACTTTTTGGCCTGGAATAAAATGCTTACGAGTGATATGTGTCATGAAACGCTTTTGTTTTATCTTTGTAGATGCTTGCGTTTTCGTAAGACTCGTTCCTCAACTCTTCGATTTCTTGAAGTTGCATCTTTCGGTGCTTTCCACTTTCTTCAAGATTGAAATTGCACTTTTTAACCGCCCAATATGCCTTGTGTTCCAATTCCACCGGTAAATGACAAGATTTTCCATATACAAGGCGGAATGGAGACATACCAATTGGAGTTTTGTAGGCGGTCCGATACGCCCACAAAGCATCTTCTAACTTCAAGCTCCAATCTTTTCGGGTAGTGTTGACGGTCTTTTCAAGAATTTGTTTGACTTCTCTATTTGACACTTCGGCTTGGCCATTTGTTTGTGGATGGTAAGCGGTTGATATCCGGTGTGTGACACCATATCTCTTTGTCATTGCTTCCATCATTTTATTGCAAAAATGAGTGCCCCTATCACTCACCAAGGCTCTCGGTACACCATATCTTGCGAAAATGTTTGACTTCAAGAAGTCAATTACAGTTTTTGAATCATCATGCCTTGTAGCCTTTGCTTCAACCCACTTTGAAACGTAATCAACCGCCAAGAGTATATAAGTATAACCAAAAGAAACGGGGAAGGGGCCCATGAAGTCGATTCCCCACACATCAAAGATTTCACAAATAAGGATAGGGCTTTGAATCATCTCATGCCTCATGGATACGGTTCCCGTTCTTTGACATCTATCACAACTCTTGCAAAATAGATAGGTATCTCTTGACATTGTTGGCCAATAGAGTCCGCATTCGAACACCTTTCGCATGGTTTTGTTTTGACCAAAATGTCCTCCGCATGCATACTCATGGCAGAACTTCAAAATTGACTCGACCTCATTTTGATGAACACACCTCCGTATGAGTTGATCCGCGGACAATGTTTCCAAAGATAAGGGTCATCCCACACGTAGTATTTGGAATCACTCTTCAACTTGGCCTTTGGTACTTGGTAAATGCATGAGGAATTTCTTTAGTAGCCAAGTAATTCACAATATCCGCGTACCATGGAATGGAATTTGACATATAGAAGAGGTGTTCATCCGAGAATTCATCAAGGATAGGAGAAGAAGAATCACCAATATTCAACCGACCTTAAGTGATCCGCAACTAGGTTTTCGGCACCACTTTTATCCTTTATCTCAAGATCGAATTCTTGTAAAAAAAGAATCCAACGAATCAACCGTGGCTTGGCATCTTTCTTGGTCATGAGATACTTCAATGCGGCATGGTCGGAATACACAATTACTTTTGTCCCAAGAAGGTATTGCCGTAATTTCTCCAAGGCGAATACGATGGCTAGAAGTTCCTTCTCGGTGGTGGGAGTAATTGGCTTGAGCATTATCCAAGGTTTTGGAGGCATAGTAGATGACATGGGATGCTTTGCCCTCTTTTTGACCTAAGACCGCGCCAATAGCAAAATTGCTTGCATCACACATTATTTCAAATGGAAGCTCCCAATTTGGAGGTTGGATTATTGGGGCGGAAGTGAGCAAGTCTTTAAGTTTGTCAAAGGCTTCTTGGCATGCAATATTGAAGTCAAAATCGACATCTTTTTGAAGAAGGATGCACATTGGTCGCGTGATCTTTGAGAAATCTTTGATGAATCTTCTATAGAATCCCGCATGGCCCAAGAAAGATCTCACTTCTCTAACACATGTTGGGTAAGGAAGGGTTTGGATGACATCAATTTTGGCTTTATCAACTTCGATGCCCTTTTTGGAGACGATGTGTCCCAAAATGATTCCTTGATTGACCATGAAGTGACATTTCTCAAAGTTTAACACCAACTTTTTCTCAATGCACCTTTTCAAAATCTTCTTAAGGTTACCCAAGCATTCATCAAACGAATTGCCATACACGGTGAAATCATCCATGAACACTTCGATTATATTTTCAACATACTCGGAGAAGATACTCACCATGCATCTTTGGAATGTGGCAGGGGCATTGCATAATCCAAATGGCATCCGCTTGTAGGCAAATGTGCCAAAGGGGCATGTAAAAGTCGTTTTGTCTTGATCTTCGGGGGCAACGGGTATTTGGTGAAAACCCGAGTATCCATCAAGGCAACAATAATGCGATTTGCCCGCCAATCGCTCGAGCATTTGATCAATGAAAGGAAGAGGGAAGTGATCTTTCCGTGTGCTTGAATTCAACTTTCTATAATCAATGCACACCCTCCATCCATTTTGAACTCGAGTGGGTACCATTACGCCTTTGTTATTCTCAACAACCGTGATTCCCGTTTTCTTGGGAACCACTTGCACCGGACTAACCCATTTGGAGTCGGAAATTGGGTAAATCATATCCGCATCAAGTAACTTGATTATCTCCTTCTTGACAACTTCCATCATGGGAGGGTTTAATCGTCTTTGGGCTTCCCTCCTAGGCTTGCAATCATCTTCCATGAGTATCTTGTGAGTGCATACATTAGGACTTATCCCCTTGATGTCCGCTATGGTCCACCCCATGGCCTCTTTATGCTCTTTCAAGACTTCAATCAATTGGTTTTCTTCAAAGTCTTTCAATTGAGAAGAGATAATCACCGGTAGAGTCTCATCTTGACCTAGATAAGCATATTTCAAATGGCTAGGTAGACTTTCAATTCAAGTGTGGGTGGTTGGATTATGGAAGGTGGCATCTTGATTGGAGAGAGATGAATAAGGCAACTTGAGAAACATCCTTCTTTGTGGAATTAGTAATTTCTAGAGCCTTCACAATATCTTCAACTTCGGAATCCAATGTATACAAATCCAAGGTATTCTTCAAACTTTCACCTTCAAGACTCATGTTAAGCACCATCTTCAAAAGATCCCCACTTGATAACTCGAATAATTGTTGGGTGATTGGCTCAATCACATCAACTCGATACAATGGAGATATGTTGCTAGGATATCTCATTGCTTCAAAGATGTTGAAGTGAATGGTCTCTCCATCAAACTCCATGGTGATCTTCCCATTGTGGACATCAATAATCGTGTGAGCGGTATTCATGAAGGGTCTTCCAAGGAGAATCATAGATGACTTGGAAGGAGTCTTTTCTTCAAGGTCAATGACATAGAAATCCGCGGGAAATACTAGTTGATTGACTTGAACTAGTACATCCTCCAACACGCCTCTTGGAAATACACTTGACTTGTCCGCTAATTGAATGATGACTCCGGTTTCTTCCAAAGGTCCAACATTGAGAGATTGAAAAACCGAGTATGGCATGACATTGATTGAGGCTCCAAGATCTAGCATGGCACTTTCAACATGTAAATCACCAATGGTACAAGGTATAGCAAACATTCCCGGGTCTTTGCATTTGGGTGGAAGCTTCTTTTGGATGATCGCGGATACATTTGCATTGACTTGAATCTTCTCATTTGTCTTGAATTTTCTCTTGTTGGTGCACAAATCCTTAAGAAATTTGGCGTAACGTGGGATTTGCTTAATGGCATCCAATAGTGAAATGTTGAGTTGAACCTTGCGGAAAGTCTCAAGAAACTCTTTCTCTTCTTCTTGTTTCTTTGAGGAAGCCAACCGGGATGGAAAAGGTGGTGGTATGACCAATGGTTTGATGGGTTTGTTGGAAGGATCGGGTTGATCAACATTTGGCACAACCGGTTCCTTTGGAGGAACTACAACTTTTGGAGGTTCCACAATGATCACTTCATCTTCGTCTTCTCTTGAAACTCTTTTAGGTTGACTTTCTCCAAGTGTTTTCCCACTTCGCAAGGTGATGGCACTCACATTGGGGTTCTTCTCGGTTTGTGATGGAAGTTTACCCCTTTGTTCCATCTTGTTGAGAGCGGTTGCCAAGTCTCCAATTTGTGCTTGAATGTTGGAGAAAGTATTCTTGGTTCTTGTTGAAATTGGGTTTGGCTTTGAGCAAGAGAAGTGACAAGTTCTTGAAGGCTCATTTGATGGGTACCACTTGATTGGCCTTGTTGTGGAATTGTTGGTAATTTGGAGGGTTATAAGAATTTGTGGATATGGAGGTTTTTGGGATTGGTATTGTGGATTGGGGTCTCATCAAAAGATTTGGTGGATTTTGCTTTGGTGGATAAGGGTTGTTTTGGTTATTCCTCAATTTGGGTTGAAATTGTTTTGAAATCCCATGGGTCTTGGTTGACTTTGATATCCGCCCATTGCATTCACATCTTCCGGTTCACTTCCAAGTGTGGGACACTTATCCGTATAATGGCCCGTCATTGCACAAATACCACATACCATCAATTGTTGACCACTTCCCACCACCATTTGACTTAACACATTAGTCAAATCCAAGAGCTTTGATTCCAAGTGTTGAGTGTTGCTAACTTCACCAACCACTTGTATAGAATTTCTCTTCATGTCATGTCTAGTCCCAAATTCCTTTGATTTTGAGAAATGGTACCAAAAAGTAATCGGATCTCGTGAGGGGTTTTGTTGAAGATGTCACCACCACTTGAAGCATCAATCATCCTCCGATCTTTTTCATTCATACCCTCATAAAATTGTTGAAGAAGTAGTTGTTCGGGTATATTGTGTTGAGGACAACTTGTACACAAATTGTTGATGAAGCGCTCCCAAAAATCATGAAATGTTTCATTTTCCCCTTGACGAATCCCAAAATGTCACTTCTTTGACTTGAAATGCGGGAGGGGGGTGGGATGGATTTGCTATTGAAGGCTTGAGTAACTCTTCCCATGTGTGAATTGATCCCGGTGGTAAGTTGAATAACCACTCTCTAGCTTTGTCTTCCAAGGTGAGCGGGAAGGGAATGCGGTTAACTTGAAATCATCCAATGTCACATTGTCGGGCAACATGCTAACACATATCATATGAAAGGACTTCAAATGCTTTTGAGGATCTTCTCTATCCAAACCATGGAACTTGGTTAGTTGATGATTGATGAAACTTGACTTCAATACAATCCTCGGCACGGCGGGCGGGGATAAACAATAGCAAGAGGGTATGAGTAACATCCGTCTCCATCATTTGCCGAAGTGTCAACTCTTGAGGGGGATTGGGTGGATTGGGTATTTGGATATTGTTGCAAGTAATTGGGTGGTTGTTGGTAAGGTGGATTGGGTATGGTTGATGATTGTAGATTGGTGGTGGATAAGGTTGGTAGTTAGGGTATTGGTTGTAGGGAGGTTGTTTTTGGGGGTACATTGGGTTTTGGTACATTGGAGGGTGTTGGTAATTGGGTTGATTTGGGTAATGTATTTGTTGTTGAACTTGAAAAGCATTGGTTTTGGTTTGGTTGTTTGGTGGATTGTTGGTTTTGTGGTTGTGGTTTTGATTTGGGTTGGTTTTGAGGAGGGGCTTGATTCCAAGGTGGCATATCAATGAGAGGCTCTTGTTGTTGTTGTCTTGGTTGTTGGGGTGGTGTATTGGCATCTTGATTGTTTGGGTTTGGGTTGGGATTGTGAGGTGGAGTGTGATTCATGGCTATGTAGTTTTCCAACGAATGTCTTCAAAGGAATGACCAACAATTGGAGAACTCGGCTCGGTGTCGGTATCACTTGAAGTATGAACTTGATCTTCTGTTGATTAGTGGGAGAAGAGGAAGAAGCTTGAACTAGTTGTTGTTGCTTTGCTTGTTTGGCTAACTTTTTCAACCTTTTTGCTTCTTTTTTCAATTTCCGGATTGTAGAGTAGTTCACCGGTTCTTGTAGACCTAGGCATAAACAATCAAATAACAATAACCAATATCCCCGGCAACGGCGCCAAAACTTGGTGGGATGTCAAGTCCACCAAGCAAATTTCACCCTTTGATTTCTAAATAAACGTAATATAATGGTAAAAAGGGGTATCGATCCTCGGGGAAATGGTTGTATTCAATCACCAATGCAATTCAATAGAACTAGTGAAATTAAACTAACTAACTACAATTAAACTAAAAGGGGGGGGGGTGTTTGATTACTTGAAAACTAAAATACTTGAATAACTAAAAACCTTGCAATTAAGCAAGTTGATGAGATGCTCAAAGGTTGGGAATAATTGGTTAACTAAGGCAATTCAACACAATGAACATTTGTGTGTTTATCATTAGGATCTAATACAAAGCTTATCCTTCATCCCAAATTGGTTATAACAATCATGAAGCATGATATGCCAAGATTCCTCATAGGTAGTATGGAGGTTGGGGAAGCCCACAACACACCTTCTTAATTAAGATCAAGGGTTAATTGAAGCAATTAATCCCGAGAAATCAATTAGCCTTAAGAATGAAGGAATCCCCAATTCCTAGAGGATGTCAAATGCTTACACATCCATAAAGGAGTTATGATTCATAAGCTAGAGATGATTTCTACCATCATAAAGCCTTTGTTCTAGATAAATTCAATGATCCAATGCAAAATCAATGAAACAAATCAACCATTGCTCAATCAAATACTAAGCTCATGATCAAAGCATCAAATAAGCATAAGAATTGTAAACTAGAATCATAAACATGGAATAAATTGATAATCAACATAAATCCTTCAAAACTCACAAACATTCATTGGTTTTCAGCCAAAGTCAACCAAATAAGAGTATTAGCCACTCATGGCAACAAAGTAACAAGAACATAATTAATTGCATCAAGAATCTACCTAAGACTTGAAAAGATGAAAGAAATTGAGTATTTTGCTCTCCAAATCGTGACTTGCAGGTCTCCAATGGTGGAAAATTCGTGAATGAGCCTCTAGATCTGATCCCCCCGAGTTATTGTGAGCCAAATGACCAAAATACCCAAACTGGGCAGTTGCGCGGGTACCCGCGCAGCCAAAATTCCACCCGCGCAAATGCTGCTGGAATGCTATTGGTCCACCATTCCACTACTCCACCCTTCCACTACCAAAGATTCCTTTGGTCCCCCCCTTGTCCATGTAATTTGATCCACCAATCATCATTTAGCCACTAAATGGATGCTCCAAGCCCAAAATTAGAAATTTATGATCCATCTTCACAAGCCCAAATAATCCAAGCCAATAACTTTCAAAGCCCAATTCTTCTTCTTTGATTCCGCCAAGCCCAATAATGCTTCGGGAGCCCACTAAGCCGTCTTCACTCTAATCCACAATCACAAAAAGCTCCAAAACCTGCAAAAATTCCTCATGCAACATAACAAGCCCCGATACGATCCATGATAAAGAAAATAAGGAAGAATATACAATGCAATACTAATAAAAAGAGCTAAAAATCTAAGATAAACTAATAAAAATAAGGAAATAAAATAAGCTATCAAATATACGCTCATTCTTCTAGAATAAACTCTCATTTTGCTAGAATACACTCTTGTTCTCCATGTCAAGATAACTTTGTTGTATTTGGGAGTGGTGGGTCATGAAAAAAAATACGAATCCATACATGAAAACTTAGATGCAAAATTTATTCTGAAACAATATTATTTCTGATATTAATGACGAATTTAATTAGTTTCCATAAAAAATGAATTATAATTATAGATACATTTAATATATATACAATATGAAATCATTTAATATCTATCTTTATTTGATTAAATAATAATTTATTTTTACTAATTATTATTGATGCATTGTAGCACACAAAAGATGTGAGAAACATTCGATATATATATATATATATATATATATATTATATATATATATTATATATATATATATTATATATATATAGTCGAATCCGGTGAAGACTCCAAAAATTGTGACGGATGTGAGGGCAATTCTCCACCACCCATTTTGTTAAGGGCACAAACGTTAAACTCAATATTTGATCGTGTTGTGTAGGGATGAGCATAAGCGGGTACCCGCCTCTTTTGGTCGGAACCGAAACCGCTCCCGGAACCGGCGGTTTTGAAATTATTGGAACTGCTCCCGGAACCGCCTAGACCGGTTCTTAGAAATTTGGAACTGCTCCCGGAACCGCTAAGACCGGTTCCGGTTCCGGGTACCCGGTTTCTT